TCCTCTTCCTGAAGTACTCCTCTTTCTGAGGATCACTGAACCCTCGTACCTCTGTTACCTGGTCTACACACTCAGGAGGGATCTGATTGGCTGCTCCTGGTCGAGAGGTTATCCAGAGGAGAGCAGAGGGAAGCAGATTCCCCTTGATGAGGTTCGTCAGCAGCACATCCACTGAGGCTGACTCTGTCACATCACACAAACTCTCATTGTTCTGGAAATTTAGAGGAAGTCGACACTCATCCAGACCATCAAATATGAACAGGACTTTATGAGCATTACAGTCTATTAATTGTATTTCTTGAATTTCTGGGAAAAAGTGATGAAGAAGTTTCATCAGACTGAGATTTTTCTGCTTCATCAGATTCAGCTCTCTAAAGGGAAGTGGAAACATGAAGGTGACGTCCTGATTTGCTTTTCCTTCAGCCCAGTCCAGAATGAACTTCCGCACAGAGACTGTTTTTCCAATTCCAGCAACTCCTTTAGTCAGAACACTTCTGATGGACTTGTCTTTAAAGAGCTCATTACATTTGATGGGTGTCTCCTGTGTTGCTGGTCTCCTGGACGCTGTCTCAATCTGTCTCACCTCATGTTCATTATTGACGTCTCCACTCCAACCCTCTGTGATGTAGAGATCTGTGTAGATCTCATTCAGAAGTGCTGAGCTTCCATGCTGTGAGATTCCTTCATTAACTCTTTTACATTTCTTTCTCAGTTTGGATTTGAGTTTTCGATTACCAGAGGCGAGTTCTAATAAAAAGAACAATAAAATTCTGTGTATTAGATATTTAATGTCACTACTGATCTACCAGATTGTACTGATAATGTAACTTGATTACTAAGATGTGATGAATATTATCCTGTTTTCTTCCTCTAAAGTTAAAGTGATGTTATAACCCCATGAGCTCTTACTGTTCTGCAGTGTGTGAGCGAGATCTGTGTGGTTCATGTTCTTCAGGACGTGCAGTGTGATCTTCAGCGCTCCCTCTCTGACACTGCTCTGATCCTCCTCATCCTCCACCTCCCTCTCAGAGCATGCTGGGTGATCTGGACTCAGGAGCTTCTTAAATCTCTTCAGTTCACTCTTTAACAGAGTGATGACTTTGTGCTCCAGCTCCTGATGAGAAATAAACAATACAGCAAAAAATGTCATTTTATTGTTTTCTCAGAAAGAACCACTTATATGAGGGGAAACACAGTGTCACCGTGATTCATAAGAGACGAGTGGGTTTAGGACATTTGCTAATATAATTCTAATATTTGGAGATGTATATTTGAAATGTATTTGTATATCACTAAACATAAAAATGACAAACCATTTGAACTCAATTTTATTTCTATAGCACAT